ATTGAGTTATGATATGCGGGGTAGAGGGTGTCACATACAGCGTGTCATCTTAGGGATGATGATGTTAAGTGTATTTTTTATTGTTCACCTAACTGCACGATCCAACAAGTATTGAATTGTATGCTACGACAACACATATTGGATTCTTGCATAAGATGGATGCGATTGAAAGATACATTGACCAAGTAATGAAGTTGGACAACTAATGTTATATGGTTTAGGGTTTATGTTATTCATTTACTATGGTCGAAGTTTGTTTAAGTTGTTGTTTTGAAGTTATTTTCATTTTGATGATATAACAATTATAATTATTGTAGTTAATATTTAATGTCATTAGATTTCCCTTGATTTACACAATGTATTTTTTATTCAAAGTGTCATTGATTCATGCGCGTCAAGAATCCATTGACTTTAGTCATGAGTGTCATTGATTCAAGGTGTCATTGATTCATACGCGTCAAGAATCCATTGGCTTTAGTCATGAGTGTCATTGATTTAGAGTGTCATTGATTTAAGCACATCAGCAATCCAATGCCTTTAGTCATGAGTGTCATTGATTGAACCCTATCTCCACCTTCTATTTAAATGAGAGCACTATTTGTTTCAAATGCATAGTGCAATTGAGCCAAGTATTCTTATTTTCAAATCAAGATATACAAACCCTTTGTCTACTATAATGTCTTCCTTTTCTTTCTGTGTGTTGGTCTTCTTTAATGGTGAAATCACTCAAACAAACGAAGGGGATACTTTTGTATCCTCTAACCCAATGTTCCCTCAGTTAATCCATGTATCACACTTGATGCGTTGAAAAACAAAATTCAAAGAAGAATCAACTTACCACAACCATATTCAGTTGATCTGCTTTACTTGCGATATCCACAAGTGGTAGGTAGAGAGGAATGCTTCATTTTTGAGCTATCAAACTTACCAAGGATGAAGACGTTCATGGTATGATTCAAATGATTCATAGCCAAAAACTTCTTACTTATGTTGAACTATATGAGAATCTCACACAAATAAATAATAGTCTTCCACCTTCCTATGAAAACCAACCCATTAGACCATTTTCATCCAGACACAAGTTCTTTCACCCACCTACTTTCTAGCCCTTTTCAAACCAACTATGACTCACCCTACCTAAACGAAGAATTACCACATGGATCCTTTATCAACCTCCTTACATTTGGAGTCCCACAAGAACAACAAGGCGTTGGCGGCCTGTTTAAGTCTGGACTTGCAAAAGAAGAAGTCTATGGTAGCCTACTTGAAGTTAGAGTTTCTAAAGAAGAAGTCGGTCCTTTTAGTGAGGACGGAGATAATGCAAGACTCCAACAAGATGATGAACAAGACGAACAAGATCTTGTTCAACAAAAATCTCAATATGTAGGCACATCTTCAACCACATTCAATTTTCCAACACACATGCACAATGTTGATTTACAAACAAATTTCACCGACCCTGAGTATAGACATGCACTTTACCATGTTGACGTCGAATATACTCTTGAAAACCTATTTTAGGGCATGACTTTCGACACAAAAGAGGAATTCAAACATGTTTTAAACACATACCATGTCAAGAAAGATCTGTATTACAAGATCTAGAAACCGTCTCCAACATTAATTATTGCACGATGTGTTAACAATGAATGTGATTGGAGGTGTAGAGCGACTTTCATTAACAGAAGCCAAAAATGGGAAGTTTGTAGGCTATTAGAGGAACATTCTTGTTCATCCCCTGTTATCTCACAAGATCATGTCAACCTTGGCTATGTATATATTAACAAAAGTATTCTTCCATTGGTGGAGAGTGATCCATCAATTTCAATCCCAACAATAATAGCACACATCAAAAGTGTTGAAGACTACACAATCTCATACCAAAAAGAATGGATGGCAAAGCAAAATACAATTGAAGACTTACATGGAAATTGGGAACAATCATATCATGATTTACCCAAGTTGCTCAATGCCATGACAATATTTCTTAATGGATTTGTTGTTGAGAAGGAGACAAGGCCACTGTACAACCAACAAGGTGAATGGTTCCTTATTATGTTCAATTCCATCAAGTATTTTGGACATTTAAACCTTGTACCGATGGGTTCAAATACTGCAAGCTCATTGTTCAAGTTGATGGCACATTCTTGTATGGAAAATAGAAAGAAACTCTCTTCATGGTCATGGCACAAGATGGTCACAACAAAATCTTTCCAATTGCCTTTGCCATTGTTGAGGGTGAAACAGTAGATGCGTGGTATTTCTTTCTTCATTACCTAAAAAGACATGTTTACCCTCAAGATGACCTTTGCTTAATCTCCGACAAGCACACGTCCATAAAAAATGCCTACGCTAGACAAGGCAATGGTTGGGCACCGAATAATTTAGTGCATGTGTTTTGCATTCGCCACATTGCCCAAAACTTCATGAGACATTTTAAGAATGCAGAAAGAAAAAAAAATAATCATCAACATGGGTATGTAGTTCTTTTTTATTTCTTTTTTATCATCAATTAAATATTTATTCTTATTTGTTTTATTATATTTCAACAATAATAAATTGTTGATTTTTTTCTCTTCTAAATTCACAGTTTATGGGATGACTTAGCCTAAGTTCAATTACTATTATAACATTGAGAAGCGAACCAGAAATCGAAGGTGTAATTGATTGGCTCAACACTATTCCTAAAGAACAATGGACTCTTACATGGGACAATGATCAATGATGGGAAACATGACTACCAACTTGGCAAAGGCAATAAATTCCATTTTTAGGAAAATAAGAAATTTGTCAATATTTGCAATTATCATGTCAACTTATAAGAGATTTAATTCCTTATTCATTTAGAGAAGGAAGGAAGTCGATGTTAAACTTAGGGCTAGCCAAGTTTATACTGAAATAATAAATAGGGTCAAGAGAGATGTAGAATCCAAGGCTAATAGTCATCATGTCCTCAAATTTGATCTTCAAAATACACATTTTCTGATGTAAGAGACCATTAACCCAAGAGAAGGATGATTGACTGAAAATTTCACAGTTAAACTACATGAGAAGTGGGGTGACTGTAGAAAATTCCAAAAGTTACACATGTCATGCTTCCATGTTGTTGCTGCGTGTAAGCATGTTTACCACAATTACACATCTTACATGTATCAGGTATACACATTAGAATATGTTTCAAATGTGTATAACAAATTATTTGGTAAACTGTTCAACGAATCTTATTGGCCAGATTGTGACAAACCACAAATCATACCAAATTTGAAAAAGATTAGAAATTAAAAATAAAAAAAAAGTCATCTAAAGTCATCCTAAATACGCACTGAATGGATATGGTTAAACAAGAACAACAAAAAATATGTTCTCTATGCAGAAATGTAAGTCACTCTAAGAAAAAATGTCTTTACCACCAAGAGAGTTCAAGTTAACAAGCTTAAATTGACAATTTTTCATGACTTACATCTCAATTTCGATTAGTTTGTTGTGTATCTTTCACAAATATCATGTTCTATAATTTTAATTTGCTCGCAATTTTAATTTTTTTATGTGTCTTTTACAAATATCATCTCAATTTTCAATACAATTTTTTTAATATAAATTTTAATTATATTTAATTATAAATGCAAAATAAATATATTAAATAAATTATACATATTTACATGTATAACAAATTAATTATTAAATTACATTATTCAATTTTCTATATTTTATAAATTTAATTTAAATAATAAAATAAATTTTTAAAATTTAAATATAAGTATAATATTAAATTCTGAAATTTAAAATAAATTAAAATATCTTTTAAAATTCACTATGTTGACAAAAAACAATGCAAATGAGTACATATAAAGATATTTCCTATCTTTACCAAAAAAAAATATCTTTTAAAATTCAAAAAACAGAAAACAAAAATAAACGAAAAAATAGGCCAGTTGAAAAATCAGTTACTGGATTTAGGATAACCGATTTCTTATTGGACTTTTTAAAAAAAAAATAATAATAATCTAATAACCAATTTCTCATCTAACTCTGAAAGTAGTTAAGTAAATAAAAACTGATTCAAGTTATTTAAATAAATAAATAAGTAAAAAGTATATTATAAAAAAAAATTAAAAAAAAGTCACTTCTTAATCTAGGAAAAGCAAAATTTTCGTGTATCTTTTAAGAGTTCGAGGGTATCACAAAACTAAGGTGAAAACTACTAGATAACTTGCAAGCTTTTGTGCATGGCACGAGTATTTTTAAATTTGAAAAAAAAAAAGTAGAATAATAGATACTTTTATCATTAAAAGTATGTATATAATTATATTATTGAATTTTCGAGAAGACAAGCATTAAGATTTGCTAGTTATTATTTATTATTCCTTTTGTCAAGGACTAAAGTTGTTTCACAATCTAGAAGTGGTAAAAAAAACTAGAAGCTACCATCAGATTGTCAATAGGTACAAACTTGACTATATCCTTGGCAAATACCAAAGGTGTATATTTAATTGTCTAAGGAGAAACTACAAAAAAGCTTCACGACTTTTTGTTGGCAGCTCCAGATCAGGTTCAGATTCAGTCAGAGGTAAGAAGTATTGATCCACCATATCTTGAGACACCTTGTCCAGGGTTGGAGGATCCCACTGCATACATTTGATTGACAATTGAGTAAAATATTTGGATTTTAAACACAAATTTATAACAAAAGGAAGAAAGTCATAAACAACATTTGTTTGCAGTGAAGAAATTTCATTCATTAAATAAATGCTTAACATGTTTTTGGCTCCTTAAATTTGAAAAATATTTTTTATTTTTGCTTCTTCAAATTTAAAATGTATTTTTAGTTTCTGTAATTAAAAAAAAAAAACTATTGCTTATCTTTTAAGATAGTAAATTGGAGCATAACTTAACGAGTTAATCGTCTATACACTGTCAGTGTAAAGTTTTTTTGCACTGACAACTAATTATATCTGTTACTTGCAGTATATAAGTGATTAACTCTAATTTAACAAAACTGTCATGTAAGATAAGGATTACTTCCTACGTATACAAATTTAGCCATTATCATTAGTCAATATGAAATCTCCAACATTATCCCTCTATATTTTTTTATCCTTCAAATTTAAAATTTGTTTTTAAGTCTCCAAAATATCAAAAATATTATTTTAGTCCATTTGGTCAAATCTTATCAGTAAAATGTATCAAATAAAGTTCACTTATTGTTGAATATGTTGCATAGAATTATCCTACTATTTGCTAGTAAAAATATCACATTAAACAAACTAATACATTATAACAATCTCAATTTGTCACCGTCAGTTACGTTATTAGTCGTATAGAAGAATTAAAACAATATTTTTTAAAAAATTACTGGAACTAAAAAAATAAATTTTAAATTTGATGGATAAAAAAAATAATTTACCCTAAATTTAAAAGACTAAAATAGTAATCTTTTATATTTTAGAAATTAAAAAAAAAAAACAAATTTTAAATTTGGCATAAAAAAATATATCTCAAATATGGAAGACTTAAAACATAATTAAATCTTGAATGAAATTCAAATCTAAAAAAGATTGTAATACGATAGTCATCATAGGCATGTGACAGTTGGCAATTTGGCAAAGGTATCATTTCAATAAGAAAAAACATACAATCAGTACCTTTGGTGCAAAGTCCTTGTCCACCACGCGAGCCCTCACTCCCTAAAATGAATTCAAATAGACTTATGTTTAGACAGAAAAAGTTTGTTTCTGTTTGCAGAAATTCACAATACTTATTATACCTCACAGAAGTCCCCAGATATCTGCATGTGTATTGATTGTAAAGTCATACGGTACTCACGCATCAAGCATTGATCAAGTGTCTGAAATCTACCTTCCCGTATCTGCAACAATTAGATGAATTATATTATAATTTATAAATGTGATTTCTTATAAGAGGAGCAAAGAAATTAGGAATTTTTTAGACTTTAGACAAGCAAAAGGAACTCACAGATCTTAAGGAAACCTTCAAGCTCAATGGAGAAGCTTCTTTAAGTCTATTTAAGGTAGAAATGCACCATGGATCATTTGTTTCACTTGCCGCATTTTCCTAATGGAAATTTAAAAGTTATTATTAGAACAAAAGAAAAGATAAAATGCCCACCAATAAGTCAAGACACAGCACACACAAAAACATGCAAGAGATACCAAAAAACATTTTCAAACTGTAATCAATATATATAGAGAAAAAAACAGTAAACAGGTACAAATAACCACCCTAAGCATTATTTTGCGTTATCACCTCTCCTTTTGAAACAAATCTGGGAAAGGAAGTAGAAGAAAAAGGGAAGGGTGGAGACTTGGGAACACATGTGCTTCCTCCTACAAACAAATGGAAATAGATTTCTCTTATCTTGTCAAAGCCTTCGACAAGCTGGGGGATGCATAGAAATATATATATATATATATTTTTTTTTTTCTTGTGATTCGCAAATGACATCGGTGAATAGTGATGTGTTGAAAGAAGGTTACTGTGTTGAAACAAGGTTAGTGCCTATCTTTATTCTACTGGTCTCTATTTAAGTATAAATATAGAGACAGGGAGAGATATATTCTTTTAGGTATCTGGTAAACAGTTAATAAGGGCAGCTCCTGCTCGTCAACTTAACTATAATTCGCGCGAGTTAAAACACCAACCGATCCCATACATCTCATCCCACTAATACTTGTCAATTTGGAGCATAGATGTTAACTATGCCCAACTAACCCAAACATAATTAATCAGATTGCAACTAATAGCTATAGTGAAGACATCAGCTAACTAGCCGCACCAGATTTTCCTGTGAACAGAATAGCAGCCTTAAGGATCTTCTACCTGGACCTAACCTCAAAATCCCTACTTATTGGACTAACAAAGAGCAGAAAACAACAGTCACAATAATATATAAGGGTTTCCTCCATATCACTTAGAACACTTGACGAGTTTTCCTCTTAGGTAAATTTATGATAAATTACAATTTACCCATGTGAAGAACAATTGAAATTCATAATGAAGAATTGTGTTGAATAGAAAGCTCTGAAATATAGAGAAAGATGTGTATTCACCATCGCATCAACAATCTCTTCAACTGTGTCATGGCAAAAGCATTTATCTAGAATTTCAATCCTGAAGAAAATGAAAAGTAGAAAAAAGGGTTATCTTGCAAGTGAAAATATGAGAGACACGGAAAATAAATAGAGCATCCCAAAAGCTTATTTTTCATCAGACTATTTTCTTGTTTTCTTGTAGGCCTTGCTTGTTGGTTTGATATGTAGAGGGAATTAAGGGCTATTCTGAGGCAGTGTACTTTTCAGTTTCCTTTTTCTTTGTCTTCTATACAGTAATTCCTTGCCCTTCTCTCTTAGTTTCTCTCTGTTTTGAATTATTTCTTCTTTATCATAAAAAAAGCAAATAAATAAAGTCAGCGTGTAAGATAGGTCAAACCTTTGCAGTACGCTGCTGCTGTCTGGATGGACAAGTTCACCATACTGTTCTAAAGTGGTTTCAATGGCAGACGGATCATCAGTAACCAATTTCCCAAGCTGTTCTTCTATTAAAGGAAGCCTCTATAGGAATAGGACAAGACAAGCAATGATTTCGAACGTTAGAGTCTGAAAAGTGTATTAAAATTAAAATAAAACAAGCAAGCAGTGTTTAGCAGAACTAAACTGCACTTGATGAATAGTGTGTAGCAAGCCCACAGGTAACCATCTCTACTCCGTTGAGCTTTTCCCCTGTCAGAGCCAAGTACTCTCCTGCATAGAATAACAACGTATGAAATAAAGACTAGATAGAGGAGTTCATCAATCATATTATCAGTTAATGATAAGATCTGAACCCATAAATTTCCTTAAACCATTTTTGTTGAAAGGATGATTAACCTATTTAACAATTTCTTCATCTATCAATTATTTGTAAGTATATACTTGATGTAATAAATTAGGCTACACAAAAAGCATTGGTGTATAACATTTAATATCAATAGGAGTAAAAATAACAATCAGACCTCAGAAAATTAATGTTCATATTTTATTTTATATACCGTTTAGGACTCCAAATTCCAACATTAAAAAAACGAGAAACTCAATTTTGATTCTGTGAAGGATGGACCGAGTTATTGCACAACAAACAATTCCTGTCTTAAGTAGCAATCAAGATTCTGCCATAACTAACACCAACCAACCTTGATCCTTGTCCACGGCCACCCTTGATTGTAGCCAAAATTATTAGAGAGAAGAGAATCACAAGCGGGGCAAGAACAAGGTATCTTCAAGAGCAGAAAAGTCAAACAAATGAATAACGGAAACTGGGAATGTAGCATGGCCGCCCAATTCCTCTGCTTAGTGGAGATAGCTAAAAATAACATTACTAGGCCATGGGGAAACCACCAGAGATAGGCTAAAACATACCCTATTACAAAGGCCAAAACAAAACTAAGGCCAATGAGACATCTTTAAATAAGCGTGCCTTCTGCTCCAGACAAATGCACCAAAGTATGACAAAGGAAGCATGTCGCCAAGAAAATTTGGCCTCTTCTAGTCTTGACAAAGCTTCAAGCAAAACTACAAAACTTCTTGAGTAGAGTGTATACATAGTGGCACTGCTCATAAAAATGCCAAAAATATAGCTCCACAGACACCCGTTGGCAATGTAGAAATGCTTTGTGGTATTGAATATGTTAACCTTGAATTTTCCAAGTTTGTTATAGACCAAGGTATTATCCATGAGCTACCATGTGTTAATACCCCCAACAAAATGGGATTGCATAGAGAAAAAAATCATCACCTACTTGAGGTTGTCAAAGCTATACTCTCAAATGTCCAGCCCTGACGTATACTAGGTATAAGTTATCCTAATTGTCACTTATCTCACTAACAAGTTACCCACTTGCATCCTACAAGTTATTAGTCCAATTGAACACATGCCATTCTTCCCTTCTTCTCCCCTGTTGTCGAGTCTCCCATGTCATGTGTTTGGGTTTGTTGCATTTTCTCAATAACATAGTCCCCCATTGAGGCAAGTTAGATGCAAGAGTTGTCAAATTTGTCTTTATTGGTTAGCCCTCAAATAAAAAGGGGTACAAGTGTTATAACTCTTAGAGTCATTAGCTTGTTGTATGAATAAATTTCCTCACTAGGCATAGCAACGGGGCGGAGCGGGGGCGGGTTTTATGTTCCCTGCCCCCGCCCCTGTAAATTTAAACCGTCCCCGCCCCTACCCTCGATACCCGCTGGGGATAAAATTTGGGTACCCATTCCCGTCCCCGGCGGGTTTCGGGTTTCCTCGCCCCGCCCCCGCCCCTGCCCCCACTCTTAGAACCTTTTTTCTTTTCTATTTCTAATAAATATGAATAAATTTTAAAAAATAAATAAAAGAAAAGTAAGATAAATTAAATTTTTACATATAAATATTTCTAATTTTAATTTATATATATATATATAATTATATTTTTAAGTGGGGCAAGAGTAGGGCGGGTATTAACATCCCTGTCTATGTCCTTGCCCCCAATTTTATCAATAGGAAAAACTTGAATCCGAACCCGCTAA